AGAGAGAGAGAGAAGTCATGAATGTTATGATACCATAAAACATGAGGAAAATGCATCTCTATGCCTGTATGCCAAGTGTGCATATCAAATGCAATGTATCTTAGAGATGATCTCATGTACTCACACTCTCAGAGTACTCAATCTCACTGTCTCACACTTTCCACTCATCATGCTCAATCACTCAACATGCTAAGTTCTTCGATATTATCTATTAGTTTTTCGAGAAGTCTTTTAGGAAGTTGTGATATGTGTATCTTGTTAGTTATGCAAGATTCTTGAATTGTTTTTTGAATAGTATAAATAGGGATGTATTTGGTGGTTGTAATCATATCAAGTGGCCTTAAGTAGCCTGATAGAACTTGAGCATTTTCTAAGAAAAAATATTCTCTTCCTATTCTTACCTACAATTGCTGAACACCTATACTTTATCCACTTGGCATAATACACAACTGTTGAGAAAAAACACAAATGCTTCAAGTTTCTTTTGTGTATATATATATATATATGTGTGTGTGTGTGTGTGTACGTATGTATGTATGTATGTATGTATTTATGTATGTATGTATGTATTTATGTATGTATGCTGATGGGAATGTTTCATACATGCACGAAGATATGCTCTAAGAGCAATCTAGAATTAAAAGGATTCAACAGATTTTTACTTTAGCTCAGACTTAGAATCCCTTGAAACATATATAGTTTTTACCTGATGACTTGTGAAGTTTAGTTTGATTACCTGTTGGACTCTTGGCTTTGTTTCAACGAGGGCCCTTTATGAACAATTCCTAACTTCTAATTTTTCGCTGTCATCGTCATAGTGCATCTCATGCTCCTCATTTGAAATCAAATGGAAAAACGATTCTTAACTTATTGTTATGAACAAATCCTAACTTCTAATTTATCACAGTCAATGCATCTCATGCTCCTTTATTTTACTTAAATGTAAGGACAGAAGATTAACTGAATCTCATTTAGATGGTCTCCTAAGATTTTATTGATTCTGTATTTATAACCTGATGCATTTGTCTTTCTTTTCTTTTAACACTAAAAATGAATCTTATGTCCCGTCAGTACTTCTAGAGCTATCGTCCTATGGTGTAAATGCATAAATTGAGGCTAATATTATGTATAATGTATTTGCAGATGCTCATTGATATTCTGCATATTGAGGCTAATATTAAGTAATGTGTATTTGCAGATGGTATCTCAACTTTACTAGTCCAGTTATGTTGTCCACAATGGAAGATGGGAAAATAGTGAGAGGGCTAGCAGGGATCCCAGATGAAGGTCCTACATTATTGGTGGGTTATCACATGCTTATGGGTGTAGAACTTGTCCCTCTTGTGGAAGAATTTTTGAGGGAGAGAAAAATTTTAGTTCGTGGTATAGCACATCCAACATTATTTTCGCAGCTGACTGAGAATCAGACAAATGAAGTCTCGTTCTTAGATTTGCTGAGACTATACGGGGCATCGCCTGTCACAGCTAGCAACTTCTTTAAGTTGCTTTCAACAAAATCGCATGTGCTGTTGTATCCTGGTGGTGCCCGTGAAGCCTTACATCGTAAGGTGTGCTTTCATCCTGCTCTTAATTCAGTTGACCTTCTATTATACTTTTAATGTGAAGCCTTGCAAAATCTTTGTTCATGCCTTAACCTTCAAGCTGCCTAAAGTAGGACCAGATTTTGGTCAAATGCTTTCCTAGTCTAACTACTTTTTGCTACAGTTGAAATAATGGAGTTGATACTGGAAAATTATATATGTAACAGTAGGATGTATAAGGTCAGGGTATGGGATACCTCAGATGCCAGTAAACCCCTAAAAGGGGCATTTGCTATACAGCTAAGCATATATGAATTTCCATATAGCATCTGTCTGTATAGAATACGAGGTATTAATATAAATGGTGAAATCAGTTCTGGAAAGCTGTGTTTCTGTATGTATGCATGTGTGCGCATCTGCATAGCTAAAATGGTAACGTGTATTTTTGTTCAGAATCAACAGTTCGCTTTTTTCAATTTGTGTTTTTAGTCTATATAAGCTTGTATGATCAAAATGTTTATTGTATATCTAACATTTTCTATAAGATTAAGTAATTAGAGGGAGAGAATATTGTCTATTTGTGTACATTGGTAGAGGATGAAAAAAATTATTTACTTATTTCGGTCTTCTTTTGTCGATACATATTTAGGTCTTCAACATCAAGAAAATTAGAAGTACAAAATGCAAAAGATGTTTCTGACTGCTCGATGTGCATGATAATTTTGACATAATGTCAACCATGACTGTTCAAACAATATGCTAATAGATGTACTGCAGTTGGTCCGACTCAAAAACTGCTTCATTAGGGTAACTATCATGAGTGCATCGCTGCTCTTAAATCAGGACTCCCCTAGTAAAAAGACAGTTATCCGTGCATAACATGGTCACAATTCCTCTTTGTGACTAGAAAAACTGTAATATGGCGATGGTTTTCAAAATTTCATATGACATTGCCAAACAGGTGCTTTTTTTCAGTCATTAGCTCAGAAGATTTTCTCCGAGTCGAGAAGGTCAACTTTTTCTTTAAATATTCTCCATTGAAGTAGTTGCGAGGAAAAAACAGGATATAGTACTGAAGGAGAGCTAATTAAGAAGAATCACACACTAATTTTTGCTGAAAGAAAATCGCCCCAAAAACATTTCTGACTATGGCTGTTTGTAAAGGTTTGTAATGGGGGTTGTCTTGCTGCAAATTTTAAGTCCTCGTTGCTAATTTTTAAGGGATAGTTACTAGGGAAAAGGAAGAAAGGTTGACAGCAATCTTCCAGTTTGCTTCTGATTCGCTGTGAAACTATATAACCTCAGCTACTACTTATTGTGATGTTACTTCTCAATTTGATGGTTTCAGTTTATGCCAGGGAGAAGAGTATAAGGTGATTTGGCCTGATCAACCAGAATTCGTCAGAATGGCTGCACGGTTTGGTGCTACAATCGTGCCATTTGGAGTTGTAGGAGAAGATGACATAGCACAAGTATGTTAATGATATTCCTACGTGCTACTTTCTCTAATAAGAATATAAGAAATAATGACGATTGGTTCTCTAAAATTTCTTCTGCTGAAAGAATTAATGTTGTATTCACCAGTTATTGCATTATACAATATGCGTGTTTCTCTAGTTCAGCATTATCTGAAAAACCAATTTTCTTGAAGGCAATGAAATTATGAAGGGTATAAGGTATAAAAGTAGAATCTCCGAACCATAATTATCCTCATTGCTCTTAACCAAATAACTCGTTCAATTAAGAACTACAGTAGGAAGAGAGGAAATGGCTATTCCTGATTCGTGCATTTGTATTTATCCTTCATGAAATGGCATGCTTTACTTCAGTTATGAAATACTTAGAAAATAACTGGATATCTTTTAATTTTATCCTATGTTGCTCACTATTTTTGGAGGATCCGAGTCCGCGCAATATAGATTTTATCCTATTTATGATTCAATTATTAGTTGATTGATGCTTCATTACACTTTCAAACAGCAATTTTCCATTTTAATATCTTCTTTAATCTTTATGCAATGGCATTCTTTATTTCACAACCACCTTTAAATTTCTCCTATTAATGTTTCAATTATATTTGATTTGATACTTCCATTTTAGAAGATCAAATTTTATATACATTTATACACACACACACACAGAGGGAGACACTCTATGAGGCATATTTGGGAAACCTTCTAAGGATTCTTTGTTGAAGTGTGTGCGCTTCATATCTAGGTGATGGAAATGTTGGCCCTGTATTCTATGTTTTAGTTTCTAAAATGGAACAGGCGAAAAGTAGTTTTGATGAGTTCAAAGTACTTTCATGTAATACTTACTGGTACATGGTATCCAAATGTAAAACAAAAAGAACGATATGAAGTTTATTTTCAGTAAAAGTGGATGTTTACTTCAAAACAACCCAAAATTGAATCAAACAGTACAAAATAGAAGAGTGGGAACTCATGTTGCGACTGAATGAGTGTGGTTTATGTACAGAAGCATAAGGAGTCCCGGCTTTTTGGACAGTTTGATGAGAAAAAAAGTTGCAATCTTTTAAGCACCCTCCTTCCAAGTTTTGAGACCTTGTGTAAATTGAAATTGTTTTGTTAGAGAAGTAAATATGCCTTAGGGATCACATAAGTCCCTTTTCTACTTGAAGGTCTAGAAAAGTAAACCGAACAACTGCAGGTGGTTGGTTCATAGCTGTACAGATGTCTGGTGCATCTCAGCGTTTTTCATTCTGATGTCATCTTCTTTTATTTGCAGTTGGTCCTCGACTATGATGACCTGTCAAAAGTTCCCATACTGAGTGATCGCATAAGAAATAACAATGAACGGGCAGCCAGGATGGGCGTAAGATTAAGGTAACTAATGGTTGCTTATATGCTATTGTCATGTTTAGGTAACTAATGGTTGCTTGTACGCTATTGTCATGTTTATTGTTTGCTCCAAGCTTGCTTCTTTATTTTTAAACCATCGATGCTACATGATGAACCGCCTGATTACAGGGCTGACATGACAGGGGAGGTCGCCAACCAAACATTATATGTTCCAGGCCTTTTACCAAAGGTTCCCGGGCGTTTTTACTACTTGTTTGGAAAACCTGTTCATACAAAGGGAAGGCAGGAGATGTTGAAAGACAGAGAAAAGGCAAGAGAATTGTATTTGCAGATAAAAGCTGAAGTTCAAAATAGTATGAACTACTTGCTTAAAAAGAGAGAGGAGGATCCCTATAGAAACATCATCGATAGGACCGTATATAAGGCATTTTCTTCTACTTTTGATGAAGTCCCAACATTTGAATATTAGCAGTAGATTTTATTGGTTCTTTTGTTTCTTTTTAATAAATATTAGCATATAGGAATTCATTCATCAGTGTAATGTACCAAGGTGATGGTGGAATTTCTCTTGTAATTGCAAAAAAATACAAGATGTAAATACATATACATTGAGTCCAATTAAGAAAAGTGTCATAAGATTCTAACAAATCTGCTACATATACCGGGCCTATGTACATTACTAAGAAGTAGGTCTTAGCTCATTTTTGTAACACTCCCCTCAAAACGGGGCGTTAGCTTTTTACAAAAGCAATCAACTTGAGCTCCATTCTACGCTATTGTGAATACATCAGCTAGTTGCTCTTTTATCTTCACATAACAACTGAAAATCATGTTTTCTTGAATCTTCTCACAATAAAATGAAAATCAATCTCAATATGTTTTGTTCTTTTATGATATACAAGGGCAACTTGATTATAGCTCCTAAGTTTTGCTGGTGTAGGATGCTTCGCTCTAGTTTCAGTCAAAAGATGATGTGTCCACATAATCTCACATGAGGACTATGCCATAGCTTTGAATTCAAATTCTGCATTTGGTTGAGATGCAATTCGTTTCTTACTTTTTCACTATATCAAGTTTTCACCAACAAAGATACGGTAGTCGGTAGTAGACTTTTATTAATCTTAGTGTTGGAAATACACCCTCAAGCCAATCATATTAAGATGTGATAGGTACATTATTGTAACAAATCTTTTCATTATATGTATGATTATAATAAAGGCAATCTTCATCATCTTGTTGTGTCTTGTTTATATATAATTTGAAGACGATGATGAAATCCTTGAATTAGGGAAACGAATTTGAGGGTTATGCTAGCAATCATACCAATGAGACCTTGATGCCTCGAAAGCCCTACTCTTAAACATTTTGTCGTTATGATTTTTTGAGAATGGGTACTGGTAAACCAGTTAGATTGGCACATTCTACGCATGGAGAGTGTGGTTAATCTCATATCCGCTTGTATATGTGTTTATTTTATTATACTTGGAGCCAAATCTCTCCACTATAAAGAGGCTTGGTTATTATTTCTGTAAGGACATCTTTTTTCTGAGATTTACATTATAGCAAAAGTATTATTTCCTCTACAAGAAAGGGTGATCATTACAGTTTCTTAGACTGATTCTATTTTTGTTAAATCCTAAGTGAACTGTTCATGATTGCCTTGTCTAGATTACTTTTTCTCCAATCCATATTCACATTTTTATTTATCTTTGCATTTTGTGTTAAGTTGTACCACATATCTTCGGAACTGCGTATAAATTCAACTCTATCCATTTTTCGGGTAAACAATATGTAACACTAATTAAAGAATATGGGTGCTCATTAGATAATGAGCTCACTGGATTGACTAATTTTTTTAGAAAACCTTAATGAACGCTTGTCAATAATGAAGTACTCATGTGGAGGTTGTGCAAGTGATCCTTAAACCTAAGATCGCCATAGTATCTTATATGTACCAACCTATACGTTGATTTACCTTAGGCGCATCATGTATGGATGTTCATTATCACGCTCCAACCTTAGTGAGCGCGACACAACATGTGCCTTAAACTTGTAACCAGGTGGACCAGTCATTCCTTTACGCTTAGACTTGGAGAATACATAATTTATGATAACAATAAATCTTTAAGAAATTAAATCATATACATTTGGCTCAATGGCCCAAAAACCTTCTCAATACATTATACATAATTTTCATGAATAAATGATAATGCTCTAAACTTAAATACATGCCCACAATGTACATGGAGATTCTATGACAATGGATAACTAAGTACATAAATAAACTAGACTCAAATTACCCACAGAAACTATAGCGGGCTCTTTATAGTAGTTGAAGATGGCATGGAGGAGCCTAGCAAAAATCTATATCATCCAGTACTAGCAATACCTTGTAACGACCCGACCAGTCCTTTTGTGTATTTGAGTCCCGTTTCCCCTTTTGATGCTTCACACATGTATATTTGTGGTTTTATGACTTGCGGGTCGGTTTCGTTTCGAAAAGGTTTTGGGTTGATTTGGACCATTTGATTCTTGATTTAGAAGCCTAAGTTGAAAATATTGACCAAGGTATGACTTTTGTGAAAATAACCCTGGAACGGTGTTTCGATAAAATTAATAGGTTCGTATCGTAATTTTGGACTTAGGCGTATGCCTGGTGTAACACTCCGTAAATTCAGACTATGTGTGGACATGTTAAATGAGTATTAATGTTATATTTTAGACATATGAAGTCATATCGGAATGAGTATGGGTGGAAATAGTCATTTGGAATCAAGACGAAGAGTGAGGTGCATAAGATTCGATAAAATCAACTAAGTTTATGGAAGGTCTATCTTTCAGCCTGATTTCATAATATTCTGTTAGGAATTGGAGACACTTAAAAACATAAAAATTTTAGCCCTTTGAAATAGCTTTCCAACGATATATTTTGGAGCCCAAACGGATCTTTGTGAAAAATTTTATGTGTGTTTTACTGGACAATGCGCTGTATGTGTGCCCATGTGCGCGCCCGGATGTTCCCATGCACGGCCGCGCACTTTTGGCAGTGCTACTGCCCTGAGGCGCATTTAGGTGTGCAGGAGCGCACCCGGGGGGTCATTTTATAAGCCCTACTTCGTTTCCTACACCCCAAAATACAAAAAATTGCTCTAGAAAGGGAAGCTCTCAAGAACCAAACTCCTCAAAGGTCCCTCCACCATCCAAGGTGAGTTCTAATGGTTATTCTAAGTTAATTTTAATTCTCCAATACCTTATAAACATGGGTAAACCCTTCAAATTATTAGATATTCGATTGGGACATCATTGTTGAGAAAAGAAACCCTAGAACTCAAATTCAAGATGATTGAACGTCAAAAGGTAATATCTTCACCCTCTAATTGATTATAGTATTGGATTAATGATTATAGACTCTAAGTTCATGAGATATGAGTTGATGGGTTTGATAGAAAAGCATGAATAGTTATAGGTTTGGGTTGTTGGTTATTGATTGTTGGTTAAGGGTGTTGTTTATCTTATGGGTGATGAAGAATGATATTGATTATAGCAATTTGAGATTTTAGAATTATCTAGGAGCAAGAGAATTGGTTATTGGATGTAAAAATACCATTAATAAGGGCTATGAATCTTTATGTCCACCAAGTATTGATAAAATGCCTAAGTGACCAAAATATGAGTATTATTGCTAATATAGAATTCCTTTGACTTGTATTGATGTAGATTAAAGTTGAAAGGGTTGACGAATGTTGTATTATGCTCAAGAGAAGGAACTTAAGGTATGTGAGGCTAACTCTCTACGTTTGGGAATGTTAATGATTCTCTCTACACTACGTTTCTTTTACAACGTTACTAATTGCCTCTGAAATATAGAAGCTTAGTGCCTTGAATAGTTGCAGAACTTCTATTCTCTATCTTCATAATTCGTTCATGACTTTCATTCTGAATGTTGTGAGCTCAATGTGTAATCAATATAGACTTGTATTTGATGCCCATGAGTCTCAGTCTAGATTACTCAGCATGTCATAACTAGTTGAAACTTCAATTCTCATAATCAGTTCATGAATACATGTCTTAGTCTAGTTCTATTCAGCATTCCAATATCATGTAACTCAGTATGGTTCAGTATTTCAGTATCATGTGTTGCAGTATGATTCTCAATTCCTGATTTTAAATCCTTGAATATTTAACACCTGTATTTGGGCCTGAGGCCGCAGTTTATGCTTTATGCATCTTTGGGCCTGAAACCGCAGTTTATGCTTTATGCATCTTTGGGCCTGAGGCCGTAGTTATGTATACGTATACTTGGGCCCGAGGCCGCAGTTTGTGCACATATATATTGGGCATGAGGCCGCAATTTATTCATTCAGATAAATAAGTGGTTCATCATTCAGAAGAAAAAGTATTCATATCCTTACTTCCTTTGTTCATTTCAGTTATCAGTTATCAGTTATCAGATATTAGTTAGCACTTTAGTTATCAGTTATCAATTCAGTTTTAGTTTCAGCATTTACAGTTCTTTCTTTTAGTTGCTTTACATACCAATGCGATTCAAATGTACTGGCGTCCCTTTCACCCGGGGCCTGCATCTCACGATGCAGGTAATGATTTATAGGTTGATAATTCAGAGCGCTAGGATTCTCGTACCAGCTATTTGGTGAGCTCCAGTTCTTTCGGGGCATTATCATTACTTTAGAGTCTTTCAGTATTTACAGACAATCAATATTTCAGTACTTCATTAAAGGCTTCATAGATTAGAGTAACAATTAGACAGAGTCGCATGCTTTTCATGTTAAGCAATGTTGACTACAAATATGTTTCAGACCTATATTAGTGTTTTCGCACTTGATTTATATCATTCAGACTTTCAGTGTATCAACATGTGTTAGTTTATCTTCCGTATTTAGTATGTTATGATATCACATGCTGATTCTGCCAACCAGTTAGTTCGCTCGGTCACATATAGTCAGGCACCAGATGTCGTGTTATGTCCAGGCCCAGGTTCGGGGCATGACAAAGCTTGGTATCAGAGCACTAGGTTCAAGTGTCCTAGAGAGTTTATGAAGCCGTGTCCAGTGGAGTTTCCTTTATATGTATGTGCCGTCCATGCATATAAATGGTTAACTACCAAGACATTTAGGATTGTCTCATTATTTCTATTCTAGACCAAGAGTAGAGCAATAAGTAACCTTCTCTTCCTACAGAATTCTAGATGTATCGAATACCCAAGCGACGGGCAAGAAAAACCCAAGGTCCTAGAGAGGATGATTGCCCATTGGGGTATAATTATGGAGTACAGATTGGTAACAAATGAGACTTGAGAGGATGTTGAAAGTGGGATGCAATGGATAGTAGTACATATTAGAGAATAAACTTATCAAAAAGTACAAAAATAGTTATCATGTTTTATAGTTATCAGTTTTCCTCAATTACCAGTTATACAGTTTTTCAGTTAGCATGTTTATTTTTATTCAGTATGATTGTATTCAGTTATATGTTTATAATTACCAGATATCTAATTTTCAGTGTATCAAAATTCTGGTGACTTATGAGTATACAGTAATGCCTATGAGTGCTAAAAGAAAATGCAAGTAACAATGATTATAGCAAAAGCTTTGCACGTTTTAGGTTCGGATTAAGACCCAAGACTTACCAGATTGT